GGATATGGGAGGCTGCTATCGCGGGATTCAACCTTCTAACATCTCTTAAGTACAAATCAGGGCAAGGCTCGCCCATCCGACCCCCCTAGAGTTGGTTGTGAACGTCTGCCCAACCACCGCTGAACTTTCCAGGAGCCTGACACGAGCCTAGCAGGTAGGGGCTTAGCAAAAGCAGTGGGGCAGGACAGAAATACTGAAATCTGCGTTTTTCTTCCCGTTGCAGTTTTGTAAACATCAACCAACGATGAAACCTTCCACGGCAGAGACGCTTCATAAAGGGAGGATGTTGTGGATAATTCTTCTAAGCACAATTGCTCTAGCATGGACTACACCAATTCCCTTGATAGAGGATTCGGAGGAACTCGATGAGCCCTGCTTTGATCCATGTTACTGTGAAGTGAAGGAGAGCCTTTTCCATATACATTGCGACAACAAAGGATTTATAAATATTAGTCAGATAACAGAGTCGTGGTCGAGACCTTTTAAACTTTATCTGCAGAGGAATTCCATGAGGAAATTGTACACCAACAGTTTTCTTCACTTGAACAATGCTGTGTCTATTAACCTTGGGAACAATGCACTGCAGGACATTCAGACGGGGGCTTTTAACGGGCTCCGAGTTCTGAAGAGGTTGTATTTGCACGAAAACAAATTGGACATTTTTAGAAACGACACTTTCCTGGGTTTGGAAAGTCTGGAATATCTGCAGGCAGATTACAATGTCATTAAACGGATTGAAAGCGGGGCATTTCGAAACCTAAGTAAATTGAGGGTCCTTATCCTAAATGACAATCTTATCCCCATGCTTCCCACCAACTTATTTAAGTCTGTGTCCTTAACCCACTTGGACTTGCGCGGGAACCGCCTAAAAGTCCTTTCGTACCGCGGGATGTTGGACCATATTGGCAGGAGCCTGATGGAGATCCAGCTGGAGGAGAACCCGTGGAACTGTACGTGCGAGATCGTGCAGCTGAAGAGCTGGCTGGAGCGCATCCCCTACACCGCCCTGGTGGGGGACATCACCTGCGAGACCCCCTTCCACTTCCACGGGAAGGACCTGCGGGAAATCAAACGAAGTAAGCTCTGCCCCATGCTGTCCGACTCCGAGGTGGAAGCCAGCCTGGGCATCCCTCAGCTGTCGTCCAGCAAGGAGAACGCGTGGCCTACGAAGCCTTCCTCCATGCTGTCCTCCTTCCATTTCACCGCTTCCTCGGTTGAGTACAAAACATCCAACAAGCAGCCCAAACCCACCAAGCAGCCCAGGGCGCCCCGGCCTCCCCCGACACCCCGCGGCCTGTACCCCGGGCCCAACCAACCGCCCGTGGCTGCCTACCAGACCCGGCCCCCCATCCCCATCATCTGCCCCACCGGGTGCTCTTGCAGTTTGCACATCAACGACCTGGGCCTGACGGTCAACTGCAAGGAGCGAGGGTTTCACAACATCTCCGAGCTCCTGCCCAGGCCCTTGAACGCCAAGAAGCTCTACCTGAGCGGGAATTTGATCCAGAAAATCTACCGCTCCGATTTCTGGAATTTTTCCTCCTTGGATCTCTTACACCTGGGGAACAACCGGATCTCCTACGTGCAGGACGGGGCTTTTATCAACCTGCCGAATCTCAAGAGCCTGTACCTGAACGGCAACGACATCGAGCGGCTCACCCCGGGCATGTTCCGGGGCCTGCAGAGTTTGCATTACCTGTACTTCGAGTACAACCTGATCAGGGAAATCCAGCCGGCGGCCTTCAGCCTCATGCCCAACCTGAAGCTCCTCTTCCTCAACGACAACCTGCTCCGCACCCTGCCCACCGACGCCTTCGCCGGCACCTCCCTGGCCCGCCTCAACCTGCGCAACAACCACTTCTTGGCGCTGCCGGTGGCCGGGGTGCTGGAGCACCTTCACGCCATCGTCCAGATCGACCTGAAGCTCAACCCTTGGGACTGCACCTGCGACCTGGTGCCGCTCAAGCAGTGGCTGGAGGCCCTCAGCTCCGTCAGCGTCGTG